GAGGATCTGCTGTTTTGAGTAACATTTCAGTTAGTTTATATGGAGTGTCTAGTACCCCTTCTTCTGTTTCAAGCATTCCTACTCAGTGTCATTCAGATTGTGCTCATACTAAAGGTTGTGCTGCTGCTGGTCCTCAGTATTGTGATGCTTGTAGAAGCACTCTGCTACGTAATGCTACCTCACTGGAATGTATCCAACTGTCTGAGTGTCAACCACCTAACGAAATTGCAAGTGGCTACTGCTATTTGCCTTCTGAGTCTTCAGGATGGAAGGTCATTGGAAATAGTTTCCTCCTTTTTATTTTAATAATAGTTGCCTTTAATATGTAAACTGAGGTGCGTGATGTCATTCTTAGTAGTTTATTTTTTAGAAATAATTATTCTTTTTAAAGACTTTTTTGAACTTGTGTTTTTTCCTTATTTCTTATAACAAATAAAAATTTTTTTTTAAATTTTAAACTGTCAGTGGTGAATCAACCAAGCTCTGTGATACCATCATAGCTCCAGCTTAAAGAACTTACAAAATGAAAGGTATGTAACTTTGATAATCAAAATATACAGATTTACGTGCAAGTTAAAAAGTTTTAAAAGACAAAATAAGTAATATCATGTTTTGGAATGCAATCTCTTACACACATAATTTCAATCAAATAATATTATTAGAAAAAAGTAATAATCACTCTACTCAGCCAACACAACTAACTCAAACAATTGAATTACAATAAGGAATAAATACAAATAATTAGTTATTAATAACACTAACAGTAATGTCTTGTTTACCACAAGTATTACCACCTTTTCGGATAGATACAGTCACATCGGGGATAGAACAAGAGCCTGAAATAAGGAACAAAATCTTATCATACTTTACATTTACATTTTTCTCTTCACTCACAATCGGCTTTTTCCAGACGAATGATATCAGTGATATTGCCACAGGGATTAGTAGAAGTACAAGTAAAATCACCATAATTGTTATCAGCAACAGTAAGTGTTAGTGGTGCATTATTAGATGATTCCCCTGGGCCGGTGATGGTATAAGTGTCACCAGGGCCGACAGCACACCTTATGGTGACACTCAATCCAACTTCAGCACATATTCTTTTACGACTGTCAGTTCCAGAGCATCCATTCCCTAAAATGCCCTCCACTTCCCCAGTTACATTAACAGCAGGAGTATCTAAATTATTAAAATAAATGGACAAAAAACTCACAATTTTATTACATTTTCTGATACACAAGTGTTTTGATTTTCGATATACCGTACGGTTGGTAAATTTCGTGGGGTATTAATTTTCGTTAATTTCGTGGTTTATTTTTATCCACCAAATTTTAACCCCTACCCACCCACACATAAAAAAACTAATAACGGGCCATGCAGAGCTCTAACTACTATTTTCAAGCCAGTAGAGGAGCCAGAGTTCTTGTCTCTTACTCCATATTCCACCATAAGCCATGTGTTGGAAGCTAGTCCAGTAGATCCAAGTGAAAAGAAGTTTGCTAATTACCACCCACGAATATTTGTACCCACGAATATTTGTACCCACGAATATTAGCTTCTAAGGACATTTTGGAGAAAACACGAAATTTTGGACCCTCGAATATTACCAACCGTACGGTAAATCAAATAAAACTCTTTATGTCCAACAGTAAAAACATGAATAAAAATATAAATGAGCTCGACTTACGTTCAACTATAGAGCTGGCAGTAGAAGTACCAAATGCATTGGAAGCATTGCAAGTATACATGTCAGTATTATTAACAGTTATTCTCATTTCACTTGCTATTACTCTACTACCAGTCGAAGCAGCAGTCCATGTAAACTTAATAGGCTCAGTACCACTCTGAGTACTACAATCAATGGTGACAAACTGATGCTCTAATAAACAGATGGCAAATCCAATAGGGATTGTAGCATTCATTATTGTTGAAGGTAGAGTGAAAGTTGGTATGCCAGGAGGATAAGTGCTGATTGAAGGAGGCACACCTGATAATGAGAAAGAATAATAAGAAAATTTAATTATAAAGTTGACTGACCTGGTCTACCGATAATTATAGAATCCGCTGCAGCACTACAGTGAGTATATGTAGATACACAATAATATGTACCAGAGTCTGATGGATGAAAGTTCCTTATATAAAGAGATCTATCTACACTTATTCCACCAGGTCCACTGATGACGTATCCTCGTCCAGAAGAACAAGAAATTTCAACTCTCTCTCCCTCAATAGGACAAAGGTCAGCACAAGTACTGGTTATACCGGGACGATTGCATCCATTGTCTGATATATTAAGAGCTGGAATCCTTCCCCTAATAGTGACAAGAGTCCGACCTGCATATAAGATGAACATCAGTGATGAGAGATGCTATAACCATTTATCTTAATTTAGAACTCACCAAGAATTGGTGAAAATGCCACATCCTTTCCACAAGGATTCATAACTTCACAATAGAGCCACCAACCGCGTTCTACATCACTAGGCCCAACAGTATAACTGCTACCATTGACACCACTTATAACCCTGTCATTTTTACGCCATGTTCTAGTTACACTAGTACCAAAGGCTGTATTGCAGTTGACTGTGAATGAATTGTTTGAATTGATACAGAGCCACGAGCCAATATTAATTGTTTGCTCAATAAGAGTATGTGCTCCTCCTTTTATCAGCACTATACGACCTGAAAATAAGAAATAAAAAGGTCTTGGATTATACTGGTAATCACTTTCCCTTTCCTTACCAAGAACTTCAGTTGTTGCTTGACTACTTCCACACTGATTACTAGCAGTGCAAGTATAGTCTCCAATAGAACTAGCTGTAATGGCAGAACCACTTTGACTGCCTCCTCCAGGAGTAGACCAAGAGAAAGTAACATCAGACACTGACTCGTTGTTGTATGATAGATTGCAGACAAGACGGACTGAATATCCAACACCATTTCTTGAGATACAGGTCCTAGTACCAGCAGGGACTTGGGTACTACCAGGATTAGCAATAATACCAGTCCCAGGTGCAACAGTTGGAGCCTCTGTAAAATATAAAATCAGAACATTAGCTAGATAACTTATAAAAATGTAATACTAAATAATGCATGCATTTAGTAGTATAACGCTCATAAGTATTAGGGAATAAGTATTTTGTTTGCAATATTCATGAAAATTAACCTTTGATAAAGGTAGTGCTAGCAACAGATCCACAAGTGCTAGTCATGACACAAGTATAATTACCAGAGACAGTGACTCTCTGTCTAGACCCAGTATTACTCATAAGGGCTCCATTAATATACCAGGCTACAGTACTGCCAGAGAGGGAATCAGCACACGAAACAAACAAATCATTATCAGTACGCAGGCAAGGAGAATCTACAATAGTACCATCACCTCTTTGGACAGATACAGTCACATCAGGCAAAGGACCTGAAATAAGAACAAATGGTAATACCTCAATAGTTGTATTTTGCTTCTTCTGTCAGGCTAAACTCACAATCGGCTCTTTCCAGACGAATGGTATCAGTGACACTGCCACAGGGATTAGTAGAAGTACAAGTAAAATCACCATAATTGTTATCAGCAACAGTAAATGCTAGTGGTGCATTATTAGATGATTCCCCTGGGCCAGTGATAGTATAAGTATCACCAGGGCCGACAGCACACCTTATGGTGACACTCATTCCAACATTAGCACATATTCTTTTACGACTGCTAGCTCTAGAGCATCCATTCCCTGAAATACCAGCAACCAATCCAGTTACATTAACAGCAGGAGTATCTAAATTGATAAAATAAAATAAATGGATA